ATTTCAGAAATAGGCCTGAGAAAGGTAATTTAGGAATACAGCCCAAAAGGATGACTTATGACTGGGGTTTTATTCATTCAAGGCTTTTCACTTTATCTTGCATGACACTTTCTCAGAACCATGCATATACTATTAAGCGAGGTTGAAACAAAGACTTAAGCAAGAGTGTAAATGGAGTTTCCTCAGATAAAAATGGTTACAGATGATGTATTTCTAGTCTCTGACCTAAGGGATACTAATTGTTATTCAAATAACAGTGATTTACTTAGGTAGTTGTGCTTTCCCTCTAACTGCCATTTACACCACACAAGCAAGCTGTCTACTCTTTCTTTCCCTTCATCCTCAGTTTTGGAGAGAGTTGTCTACACTCACTGCTACTTGAGTGTAGATAATTCACTCCTAAAAAAGACATTTGCCAGTTTACTGGGGGTTTTTTGTCTTACAGAGATCAATAATTAAATTGAATAGTCTCTTTTCTCAGGCTATGTGCTATGTTGTAATGGAATGAAGACAGCAAAAGAGGGAATCATCTTGAAATCTAGTCACTTAAATGGAGTATTTGCCCAAGTGGCTATCAATTCAGATATCTGAATTGCAAACAATAGAAGCATTTAACTGGTTTAAGTAGAAGCCTACTTAGAAATATGTAAGGTGCTCTTGGGCTTTTAATGGAGGGCAGAGGGTTGAATGCTGTTCAGCTATGGCACGGCTTAAAACACTAAGTAGGTTCAATGTTTCCACAGTGTGGAATGTCTGATGCTTTTCTGCTTGCCACCTCTGAAGGCCCAGAGCAAGAATATCAATACTCTCGAGTGGTTGCAGTTTTGTGACACCATAATATTGGTTCTTTTTAACCTTCATTGGATTACCTTCCTTTCCTTGCTCCTTAACTGTGTCTCCCATGTTTTGAATTTAGGGCAAAAAGAGCTGAACCCTTGCTCCATTCCATCCACTTCTATGTTTTTCATTTGTCATTTATAAGCTAATGTAATAAGTATCTTAATACATCACCAGATTCCTCAGTTACTTGTAGATCTTCAATAAAATGTCTGTTTAGCCTACTTGCCCTGTATTTAGTAATATCGATATGTTTCTAGTCAGAAAACATGTATCACTTCCCCTCAGTTTAAGTGCTGTTTCTGTCATGCCTGTTATTTGGTACAATGATGAAAACACTGTCATTCAAGGTATTTTACCTAGTGAAGTAGACATACGCTAAAATCTGACAACTCATGTTTGAAGCGAAATATGATTAAGAAAGAACTTGGCCAGAGGCAGTCTAAGGGGAGAATTGAATCGTGCTTTGAAGAACAAAAGGTTGCAGAGCGTTTAGGAAAGTAAATCAGAGGCACTGAGTAGGTGTGTGACTCGTGCTTACTTAAGGTGAGAAGAGTCAAAATTGTAAAGGCAAGTAGTATGGATGAAGTGGGCCACTTAAGAGCCTGGATGAGAGAAATCAGAACCTGAATTGGGGTATTGGCAGAGTAGAAAGGACAGACAGAGACAACCTATCCACAAGTAGGTTGTAAAGTAGATTTACACAAGCACCCTTATTCTGACTGACTTTAAGCCTGTGTTACACAAATTGATCACTAGGAGGCATCAGTTCATCAACTAGTAAGGGGAAAAGGAGGGCAGCTAGACACAGTGTACCTAAGTCTGGATAGTTTTGTATAATTTAAACTTTTAGCCCAAGGCATTTTGGAAATTAGAATCTTCATATATTTCTTCTGAGTAGTATTTCAAAGATGAAGAAAAGGCTAAGTCTAAATTAACAACTTGGGACTATTTGGTTATCCTTTATGCAATGATGATGGTGACCTGACATTTTCATAGGCTTTTAAATATTTCTTGAAAGACATTTGACCTTTGCTCTCTATTCATATCTTTAATAACGATCACTTTCATGAGTCTCTGCTGTATATTGCAAATTAATTTATAAACCAGGTTTTTGTAATTTTGTAATAGAGTTAAATTAAACACTTTGCAAGTTCTGTTAAGTCAAATGTCTTAAACTAGTATTGATTAATGGACTTTTAAGCAAGTATTTGACTATTTAACTGCCAGGTAAGAGGGGCCGATATAGTTCCATTACTGTATCTTGTCCTTTTAATTAGACTTACTAGAAAACAATAGAATGCTAGTTTATGTAAATACCTCTCACAATATTAAGTTGCATGTTGCTCAGAAAAAGGCTTGTGGGATTTATTTTAGATGGTGTCTATGAAATAGGACAGCATTTAAGATTCAGAGGCCTAGCATGTGTAGTAACTGTTTAAAAGAAATTGTGCCATATATATATATTGATATGGCAAATTTTGGGAATTTTTCATAGTCTTGTTATGGCTTAAAAATTTTTTTAAGTAGGACGTATTATAAAAAATCCGTCAAAACTATTTTAAGAAACTTATTTTCTTTTTATGACATATGAACTCATTTAATTTAAAATTTCTGCATTTGGCTGGCCCGGTGGCGCACTGCTATAGTGCGCAGCTTGGGAAGCGCGGCGGCGCTCCCGCCGAGGGTTCGGATCCCACATACAGACCGGTTCCCGCTCACTGGCTGAGCGAGGCGTGGGGACGGCACCGGGGGCTGCGATCCCGTTGCCGGTCCCGGTCCGGGTGCGGGGGCGACACTGAGGGTTGCGATCCGTTGCTGGACACGGAAAAAGACAAAAAAAAAAAAAAATTCTGCATTTGTTTAGTACCTAGTATGTGCCAAGAATTGTACTAGGTGATTGGGACACATAAATATAATGATCCCTGCCCTCTTGAAAAGCTAACATTCTAGTAGGAAGGGGAGCAAAAATAGCAATAGGCATAGTAAATTATCCAGTAGTATATTAGAAAGTATGCTGTGGGAAAATTAAGGGGAATTGGGTGGTTGCAATTTTAGAGTGACCAAAATTGGCTTCACTGAGAATGTGACATTTGAATAAATACTTGGAGAAAGTGATTGGGATGACCCTGACATGTTGAAAATAGGTCAACGAGGGTAGAATCGGGGAGACGAGGTAAATCATTGCAGTAATTCACGGGGGAGACGATGGCGATTTAGATTAGGGTGGTAATGAAGGAAGTGGACAGAATCCAGATGCGGTTTGAAGGCATAACCGATGGGATTTCCTGACTAGATGTGTAGACTGTATATCGAGAGAAAATAATAAAGGACTTTATTGCAAAACAGGTTTGCTTCTACATATTTGCAGTCCTAGGGCAAGAGTACAATGGAGATAGCATATGCTTAAATATACAAAAAGTTTTGTTAAAACAAGTCTAATACTCCTATCTTAAAAAATACACTTTAAGAACCTGGAAAGCCAGGTTTGGGTTTATGCCAGAACAGCTTGCGAGCCACTTTCCTTCTCTTCCCACCCCTGCCTTTGAACTGTATGGTAAGGGGCCTCCTGCACATTTGTGTGGATACTGTTAGTCTGCATACTTAAACTCTGTCCACCTCCCTTACACATCAGTGCACACTGGTGAAATTATGCATTTCCTCAAACAGTCTAGACGTCATTTAGGGCAGGGTATTAGGAATCCTGAGTACCTGGAGTGTAAAATGAGTATGCACTCCAGATGGACAGTCTGTCGTTTTGACTTCACTAAAGTGCACAAGCCCTTTGAAGCTCAGGATTCTGGATAAGGGCCTCTCTGTCTGGGGTAAGGGTAATACTGATCCCAGGTTTTTGTCCTGAGCTGCTGTACAGGTGGATTGCTACCAACTGAGAAGGGGGCTGCAGGTAGAACAGGTCAGGGTGAGGAGATAAATTTGGGAGCTCATATGTTTTGAGTTCTTTATTAGATACCAAAGTAGTAATGTAGGGAAATGTAAAAGGAAAAATTTCAACTTACAGTAGCACTGGCCTGAAATATATTAAAATTGAAGGTTTTTTGTTTTTACTACAGCCATTCTAACCAGCTAGAACTGTTTTTTAAAAAAAAAACAACAAAAACCCAAAACTGTGAACTTAAGTGAACTCAGTATTCCAGATCCTTATTGAACCAGTTTTATCCAGGAATTTGTTTTAATCAATCACGTATAAGCCTATGGACTTCTCCAGAGTGCTGTTTTTCAATTTTTTTTTTTTTTTAAATTAGCAGATGCTCTATGATCTCATTCAATGGTCTAAAAACCCCTCAGACTTTTGTCCATAGTGAACCTCTCAGAGTGTCCTCACTACTAAGTGTTCCTTTGTGTGGTGTGCGTGTTTACTGTTTTTTAACTTTAGTAGTCTCTTTTATTCTTTGGCAATAAGCAGTTGGATATAAATTGGGGGTATAAATTTGGGAGTCTCTGGCATATAGATGTTATTAAAAGTGATGAGAGTGCTTGAGATCAACAAGGGAGTGAGTGTAGATTAAGAAGAGAACCAAGGACTGATACCTGGGGCACTCGAACATTAAAAGGTTGGGGAGAAGAAACTGAGACAGTGACCAGAGATGTAGGAAAACTGAGGGTGATGTCCTTGAAGCCAAGGGAACAACTTTATCCAAGAGGAGAAAATGAGCAACTGTCAGATGCTACTGATACACAATGAATATTGCCAATTGTAAAATGCAATTTGAATTAGACATTTCAAATTTGTTCACCAAATATGTTTATCAATTTGTTAGTTTTCTTTTTTTTTTTTTTGTCTTTTTTCGTGTCCGGCAACAGATCGCAACCCTCGGTGTCGCGCCCGCACCTCGCTCAGCCAGTGAGCGGGAACCGGTCTGTATGTGGGATCCGAACCCTCGGCAGGAGCGCCACCGCGCTCCCAAGCGGCGCACTGTAGCAGTGCGCCACCAGGCCGGCCCCTTTGTTAGCTAGTTTTCTAAACATCAGTAACATTTAAGTGACACTTGTAGGTTTTCATATATACAGCCAAAGTTTTTTGAAGTAAATTCCTATAGCTCATTTTTTGTAAATTTATTTCATTGTTTTAAAAAAATTGGCAAATATGTCCATTTTAGTGAGTTGGTAGTGACTGTTGAAATAACAAATTAAGAGCAAAGTTGACTGATCTACAAAGTTTTTATACTAAGATTTACAGTCATCAACGCACTGTGGTCAGTGAGGGCACATTGTAGATTTACTTCTGAGCTGTTTACAAAATTACTAAATTGTCGTGAAATACCCAACTAGTTATAATGGGTACTTTTGAAAATTGTGCTGGCTGTTCGTTTTCAAATAATTTAGGAAAATAGAACGCATTTGTTGCATCCTGATACACTGTAGGTTAGATAACACCAAACACGGTTGACTTTTTCCTAAGAAAATAACTTGGGCTTTCAGATTACACCTCATTTTTTATCCAATCCAGTTTGTGTTTTTCCATATGAAATATCTTTCAAATACACCTGCCCTCACAGACTCAGAATTACAGATTTAAAGGAAGTGCCCTTTCCAAATGAGCTGAAGAATGTCATTCTGTTAAAAGGATGAACAGCTGGTCATGCAGAAATTCTCTGGAATGTTCACTGTCCTATAAAGGCAGGGAAAGGAAACAGATATTAGGTGTAGTATTTCTCACTGGTATACCAAATTGTACAGTTTTATAATCTTACTAGAAATTTTTACATAATTTCGGTAACAGCCTTCTTAAGAGAGTGCTTAATCCATTAACAACATGAAGGCCCTGAGATCTGGTCAGGTTCAATTTAGAGACTCAAGATTGTGCTGGAATTGTCCTATTTGATCAGACATTTTTCTTTAGATTCAGGACCTTCCCGTGTTTAAAAATTATACATTGTTCTGATTACTTTGGGATTAAGCTCTAATTTCTTAACATGACACAAGTTTTGAATCTTGCTCAGCTCTTCAAGCTCATCTCACTTCTTCCCCTCTTGAATTCTTTGTTCTAGCCGTACAACTAGGAGGTGAGCTAAGCTTCCTTCTTCCACTTGGGGCACAATAGCAACCCTTCCTTTTACCTTGGCCAACTCTGACTTGTTCACCCTCGTTTGTTTATTCTTAGTGTGATTCTTCTTACCCTCCCTATTTTCAGGGTCGGTGGGGCTTCCTGTTTACTTGATCGGTGAATTTCCCCACCAGATGGTTAGATCTCGGTTTAGGCTCTTTATTCTGCCTTACTTCCCAGGGAACAATTAAAATAGAAATTATTTAAATGTAGGAATAGGAGGGAGTTGGAGGGGAGAGTAGGGCATTACCTTCCCTGGGTCGCAGGTAAATGAGATTACAAAACAGATCTGGCCCGTTAGGCGCTTGCAAAGAGGGAGTCGCGGGGGCCAACCAGGCGTTTGGAGGGCTAAGCTGTGGTTTGAAAGGTGGGATCTCTTAGCACCGGACTTTCGCCCGGTTTGTAGTTAGAGTTACTGTTAAGAGATGTTGCAGGCTATACGAACGCGTCGAGAAGTAAGCCAGAGAGCCTGTGGTCCGGGTGGAGAAGATAGGCCTAGTGCCAGTGCTGTAAAAGAAAAGCGAGGCGAGATGCCACCTGAAGTGAGACCACCTTCCTCCACCTTTCGAACCCGACAGACGGTAGCGCTATTGCTTTGATTTAACAATCGCCCTCTCTCTACTCCAGGAAGAGCTATTTAATGACCATAAGAGAATGTGCGTGTGAAGACATGAATCCTCTCAGCCTTTGTGCACTAAGAGGTTTACGTGCGCGTCCCCGGAGGCACACTTCGGCGCACTTCTGCGGCTCGCTAGCTTCATCTCCGGCCTCGGCTCTCCCAGGCCAGGACATTGGTTCTGCGGGATCTGGGAGCCCAGCGTGAATCCCTAGGGCTAGTTCCCGAGGACAGTGAGACAGCTTTGTGTTCCAGACACTGCCTGGTAGTCGTACCCACCTTCCCAGTCCCGGTCCTGGTTTTGTGAGGTTGTTAGCAGAGAGCCCCGCGGACCGGGGAGAGGCGGGACGGCGCGGATGGCCTCTCAGCGCCCTCTGCGCGTCCGCATTCGTCGCCCGGTAGCTGGGGCGTCCTCGTAGATCGCCCTGGGTGGAGGAGAGGAGTTTCCGGGGCTTGGGTCCCGCCGCCTTCCCGGGGAAGGAGCGCGGAAGCAAGTGGGCGGCGAAAGGCGGGGCAAGGGACGCAGGGGGCGTGGACGCGGCCGGCTTTGGAAAAGCCCCAAGTTAATGAGGCGTGCGCCGGCAGCCGAGCGCCTCTCAGAGCTGGGCTTTCCTCCGCGGTGCGGGCGCCAGGAGCCGCCTTTTCCGCTGGGTGTCACTCGGGGGTGGGGAGGATGGCCCATTCAAAAGCGCCGCGAGGGGGCCCGGCCAGTGCCCTTCAGTGAGCGCTCGCAAGACGACAGCAGAGGCCCGGCGGCTTGCAGCTCCGGGACCTTGTGGCGCATCAGGACGCGGCTGCCCCTCTGCCCGGACCCAGGGCCATCACCGCCGCTCTGCCTGCTGCGTGTTAGCCTCCTTTGCGCGCTCCGGGCAGGCGGCCGCGGGAGCCGCTGGGGCGAGGACGGCGCTCGGCTGCTGCTGCTGCCCCCAGCCCGGGCAGCTGGAAGCGCAGAGGCCGAGCCAAGCGGCGGCCCCCCCTATGCCGGGAGGATGCTGGAGAGCAGCGGCTGCAAGGCGCTGAAGGAGGGCGTGCTGGAGAAGCGCAGCGACGGGTTGCTACAGCTCTGGAAGAAAAAGTGCTGCATCCTCACTGAGGAGGGGCTGTTGCTCATCCCGCCCAAGCAGCTGCAACACCAGCAGCAGCAGCAACAGCAGCAGCAACAGCAACAGCCCGGGCAGGGGCCGGCCGAGCCGTCCCAACCCGGCGGCCCCGCTGTCGCCGGCCTTGAGCCGCAGGTCAAGCTCAAGGAATTGCACTTTTCCAACATGAAGACTGTGGACTGCGTGGAGCGCAAGGGCAAATATATGTACTTCACTGTGGTGATGGCCGAGGGTAAGGAGATCGACTTTCGGTGCCCACAGGACCAGGGCTGGAACGCCGAGATCACGTTGCAGATGGTGCAGTACAAGAATCGTCAGGCCATCCTGGCGGTCAAGTCCACGCGGCAGAAGCAGCAGCACCTGGTCCAACAGCAGCCCCCGCAGCCGCAGCTCCAGCCCCAGCCCCAGCCCCAAACCCAGCCCCAGCCCCAGCCCCAGCCTCACCCCCAACCCAAGCCTCAGTCCCAGCAGCTCAGCCCGTATCTGCACCAGCATCCGCACCCTCACCCACATCCGCATCCTCACCCTCACCCGCCATCGCATCCGCACCAACAACCACACTCGCAGCCGCACGGCCACAGGCTTCTCCGCAGCACCTCCAACTCTGCCTGAAGGGGGCAGCACCCGGGTCACAGAAGGTAAGGTCCCGGCAACTCGGGCTTCCGAGGAGTGGGTCGCGGGGTGCTGGGAGGAGTAGGAAGCTTGTTCACGGGTTCGGCTTTTGTGTGGGGAAATGAAAATTCATTCCAAATTTCTGGAAAGGTGAAAAGGAGAGAAGCAAGTTGGAGCCAGGAGAGGCCGGGCAGAGAGGGTGGGGATAACTCTGGCCGGGCAGGGAGGCCTCCTGGACAGCCTTTCCGCCCACCCTGACCAACTGTGTTCAGTGGTGCGCACCTCTGCACCACTTGACTGTGGTCTGGGCACTTGAGGGAGCGACCCAGGTGTCTTTCTGAGCACGCTTTGTCTGCCGGACTGGCCCGAAGAGAACTGGATCTTGGAGGATTCTGAGCCACCTACTTCATTCGGTGTCATTTCTTTCCAGGTTTTGAGGACTTGAGGAAGTGGGACGAGCGCATTTCTATTATCTTCACTTGGATCAAAGAGAAAACAATCCCCCCGCCCCACCCCAGATCAAGTAGTTTGGACATCACCCGACTGATAACTTGCGATTCCTCTTAGTTTTCTGCATACTCATCATCACGATGCAAGAAAAGGAAGACTTTATTTATGAACCTTTGAAAAGATCTTCTGGTTTGATGGAACTTCTAGAAGGGACGATATACTGTAATTTTATTTTAATGTATTTTGATTTATGATTATTTATTAGTTTTTTTTTAAATGCTTGTTCTAAGACATTTCTGAATGTAGGCCATTTTCCAAAAAGGAAACTTTATTTTCAAAAACCTATTTCCTAGTAAGACCTAATCTTGGAAAAGAAGAAAAAAAGGGTGGTGGAGGGGAAAATATTAAGAATCCATTCATTATTGCTAGGGCATTTTCAGAAGGTCTCACACTTTCATTGTTATGCCAGGTGGTTGAAATTAAAATCTGATATTTCTTTTTTTTTTTTTTTTTGAGGTTTTCTTACTTAGACATATAGTTTGTGTAGAATAGAAGTTTTAAAAAGCTAAAAGTTGTTCAGACTTGTGTAATTATGAAAATCTAATGCTCGATACTGCTTTTCTTAAAGGAAATCAGTAGTAATGCTATTTGATTTCAAAGTATTTAAAACATAACCCAGCTGATGGCAGGATGATCAAATCTAGAATATGTGATAGGGCTTGGTCTACTGTGAGAAAAGCCTTGCTTGTATCATCTGTGTGAAGGTTTAATAAGGAGAAGAGTTATTTTGACTGTGATTTATGAATATCAATGCATTAGATGTTTCATTTCAAAAATGTCATGGGGGAAAATAGAATCATTCAACTTGTTTGAGAGAGTATTTATGTCCCTGTCAGACTAGAGAACCCTTCTTCAAGAGCTTTGCACACTTGATTGAACCATATTTTCTTATCCTTTTACCATGTTCTAGAAGCACACTGAAGAATCTCATAGTTTAAAATACAACTTGTAAATATTTCAAAGGACTAGGAGTCATAACTTCGTTTTCATACTGAAAATGTTGATCAGAGAAATCAACTGTTTTGCTTTTTATTGCTCTATGAGAAATTTGAGGGTTTTATGTTTTATTGTTAGGTTTGCTAAATTCAGAAATTGAAAAAGTAGAGGACTGGATAAACACTAGATTTTCACTAAGAAAACAACCCCAGTTTTGTTTTAGCAGCCACTTGTTTGGGAGTCTTTGGAGGAAAAAAGAGGATGTGCTTTTAAAGGTAGAACAAACCCTCTTCTGTGTTAAATCAAAAGGATGGTCAAAATCCACAAAGGCAGATGCTACTTATGTTTAAAAAGAGCCATAAATACCAAATCCTCCTGGGACTGAAAATCACTTCCTATCTGCATGGCTTTACTAATGGGTCTCTGTTTTTCATTATCTTTTTCACAAAGTCTTGGTCAGTATTTTTCCAGCATTCAAATTGGAATGGCCAGTATTAGACCACTGCTAAGTTATATAGTCAAGAAATGAAAATAGAATTGCATGCTAGAGATGTCTTTATTGTTCTATCTAGAAAGATGATTCAAGGTCAAATTACTTTTTAGAGCAATATGATCATAATAACCGTTATCCAAAAAGTTGCAGGGAAAATTAAAACTTAAGCAAATGGCAGGCAAAACTTAAGTAGACTTCTACTTCCAGTGGCTGTTTAGGTTGCAGTTGCGAAAATATGCTGCCAAGATTTTAAAA